AAAGTGAATACATCTGTGCCATTGTGACCGATTTTCAGTCATGCCACCAAGACTCCTTAACCACTGATACCTTTCGTCTCGGGGACTCAACCAGACAGTCTACATCCATCTCCCCATATGACTTGGAACAACAGTAGGAGATTCACGTCTCAGTCTGGCGAGCGTGAACCCTCTTCCAACCGAATCCAACTTCCCCTAGCCTGCATGGCAGATTTAGGTAGGCAGTGTGGCGGCATGCGTAGTACATGTCCAAGCCATCTCAGTCGATGAACGTTCACAACCACATCAACAGACTTGCCGGTCTCACCAAGTATCCTTCTCATGACTTCAACATTGCTAACGTGGTGATTTTCGCAAATGCGAGCACCAGAACGGCGTTTGCATCCGAGCTGCGATTTCTCAAGGGACAAGCCGGTTTGGTGGGCTGACACAGCTCCTCAAGTAAGTGAGGTGGTTGACATATTCCTCCATTTCACTTCCTACCATTAGACTGGGAGCACTTGTGGTAATCCAGTCGTGGAGCATCATCTCACGTTTGACAGGTACGAAATGTATGCCAACCAACCAAACATACTCAGATCTCTGCTTAACGCATCCATAAGATCCTACAGCATATTTTCAGCACAATCATCTACCAGGACAATATCGTCTGCATACTCCAAGTCAACTAGATGATCTACAGGAAGTAGATCAATCCCTGTGAAGTCAGACGCACCTAAGGTTATATCCGTTAGTACTTCCATGACGAAGCTAAATAGGAACGGCGACAGTGGACATCCCTGGTGAACACCACTAGTTGTCATCAATTCCGATGAATACTATACATAAATCTACACGTTGCTGCATGAGTATGGGCAGAGAGCTTTGAGTAGTGCTATATACTTGCTCGGTACTCCCTTCACAGACAAACACTGCCATAACACCTTACGGTCGACAGAGTCAAGTGCCAACAGCTTCAGGTCAACAAATATGGCAATTGTCGGCAATTGGCCAATAGGAATGTCTATATTCTATAAACTGTCGTGGGGTGAAAATATGATCTATGTATCCTCGTCCATGTATGAAACTTGCCTGGTTTCTCGAGTTTGCAGTTCTCCATCTCTGGCTCTGCTTAGGCGTCGAATAACCGTGGACCACAGAATCTTGGACATAGTATTAGTCAAACTAATTACCCTATGGTTATCAAAAGATGGTTTCTCTCCATTTTTACAGACTCGGATGATCAATGAAGTACACCAATCTGACGGCACTACCTCTGATTCTCATACACTACCTAGTACCTCCGTCATCTTAGACACTAATTTCCTAACTCCATCCTTGAAAACTTCAAGCGACAAACTGTGAGGCCTTGCTGCTTTGCACTGTTTCAGATTCAATACAACTTTCTGACACGGTGATTCTACCAAACGCGAGCAATCTTACGACACTGGTGTCCGTAAAAATGTAACCGCCTCATATCTTCTACTTGTAACGGCCACAACACAATTGTATAGCAGAACACAACGGAATCCAGCGCATGAGTCTCACCCTTTGATAGACTAGTCGGATATCTCGGCATTGGATACTAGAGATGATAGAAATTGGCAAATAACAAACGGCCCGTCTGTATCTGAGCTGAGGTACGGATATACACGCCCTCGAACTAACGTGTGATCACTGTCCAAGCACGTGCACCAAAGGGAGTGGCAATACTCAGCCAACCCTCACAAGCGATAAATGACAGCAATATGGTCGATCTGTGTTGACCGTTGAGGCGAAGTCAGTGGACTCTATGTTTGACAGTCTCTTTCGTTGATGTCTGAAGTTCATGCAGGACAGAAGTAGATGGTTGTTCGACGAGTTCGACGACGACGAAGCGATCACCGTTATCTGTCTGTTTGAATGGGTTACCAAAGCTCCATCTGAGTACTTTTTTAGCTGGCTCAGTGCACTCACTTTTGCGTTCAAATAGCCTGCTATAACAATCACTTTTAGACGTTTGATTTTCGGTAGAAGACTGGAAAGTCTTCGGTAGAACTCATGTACCACTTCTCTTCAACTGTAGTCAGTGAGTGCGTAAGGAGAGATTACGATGAGACAAAGGTAAGTTTCACTTCTGTTTTTAATCCTCACTATGTCGTTCAGTCGAAAAAGGCATTGGCGATTTTGAAATGGGATCCAGTCGAGCAGTGGACTTTCTGCCTTAGTACTTAATGCTAACCTATACCTGCAAGACGGTGAGAAAAAGCCATCGAATCTTCAGAAACTCGAGGGGTGGATTTTATGGATTAGCCGTATTGATCGAATGACATTGAGTGAAGGAACGCAGAATCTCGCAAATAAGTGCATCGGTGCAAGTTGTTACACTTCACAGATCCTTACAAGAAAAAAAGAGACAGGAAACGACAGATATATAGATAAAATACGATGTATTGGAAAAGAAGAAACTTTAAAATGAAAATCAGTCAAATAATTCAAGCTTTTAAAGATATCAAAGAATGAATACAAATGCTCCATGGTGACCGATTGTCACATGTCAACCAGGTTTTCCAACTACTGATTCATATCATCTTAAGAACCCCAAAAAGGCATTCAACACTTACACATATGCCTAAAACCAAGAGTCAGAAATGATGCAAGTTGGCAAATGCCAAATGAAACTTCCGTATCACACCTGCACCTTTTGTATGGGAGCTAGTGATACGACCGGGCTCCCCAATCCTCAGTAAATGAAGCAGGGCTCAGACTGTGATCCATCGCTTCATAGTCATCTTCCTAAACAAATGAACCACAACTCAACTGAGCTGAGATTCAGCCAGCAACCACGCCATTTGAGTTTATGCAACTTCCAATTAAATGAAGTGGTCGATACATTCCCTTCCTATCCCCAAACTAGGAGTATCTGCAGACCAGTTACGGAGCATTATCTTATATTTGGCAGGTGCCAACCACATGCAAAAGAAGATTCTACATTTCGCCACTGTCATCACTCTGCAGGACGGAGTTGTCTGCGTAAACCAAGTCAACTAAATGCCCACCAGGCAATAAATTAATCCATATTAACTCAGATATATCTAAGGCTATGTCCATTAATACATCGATAACCAAGTGAAACAAGAATGGTGACAACGTGTATTATGATTCAGATGATAACTGGCTACAGGCGTTTACACGGCTGCGTGGGTTCGAGTAGAGAGCTTTGATCAGCGTTGTATACTTGCTCGGTACTCTTTTCACAGTCAAACACTGTCACAACATATCAGATTGCGGTAGAGTCAAATCCCACCTTCAGGTCAAGAAATATTGCACGTGTGGGCCACCGGTAAGTATGCCCGCGTTCCAGAATCTGACAGAAATAATGGAGAATATTTGTATCTCAGGTGGATGGTCTTGGTTGTATTGTGTTCTCTGAACTGGGTTGTTTAGTCGTGAAGCTTTCATCGTCTTTCATGACGACATCATCAGTACTAACTTCAGTATGACTTCACGATTAAACAACCCAACTCAGAGAACACAATACAACCAAGGGAATCTGACAGAGCAGTGATTTGACCGAAATACCCTAGTCTAGATCTGAAACCTCCATGCTTTCCTCGAGTTCCAGTTATGTGTCGGATAACTTTGAACCAAAGGATTTTGGACTCCACATCAGTCAAAGTGGTCCTCCTATGGTTGTCATAAATAGACCTTCCTCCCTTCTTATTGACTGAAATGATCAATCAATTAGACCGGTCTAACGAGACTATCTCCAATTGCCACACTCCACTTAGCACTACCGTTACTCTAATCAGTAACTTCCTAACTGATTCCTTAAAAACCTTTGGTAGTAAACCCTTACATCCTGTTGTTTTGCATCATTGCAAGCTACAAACAACCTTGTCAAATTCGAGAAGATTTGGAGTACCGATATTTTTGTCCGGTTCAGGTCCGGGTTGGCTAGTGCTGAGTAACTGAAGCGTGGCTGTGAGCCAGTTGAAGTATCCTTGAAAGTGTTCCGCCCAACTTTCTAGTCACATGTTCTGTGAGGTTATCAGAGTTTGGTCCTTTTCGATGACAGTTTCAATAACCGTTGTCTTTTCTCTTCCGCTATCTTCCTCAATAACCCAAAATAATTGCCGATTATAAATTAGTTCTGATGCCTTCTCCATTTATTCGGCTTTCACTACCTACCAATGCTCCCGATCATTGTGAAAACTAATAGTCAATTTACGCTAGAGCAGCCTCAGATGTTTATTGTGATTCCAACTAGCTGAAATCAGTCTTCTCGCACTAATTATTTTAGATGACGTTGTGGAAATTGAACAAGGTTTGCTAACTTCTGGATGCAAGTTACCAACCGTTTTTTACCGCTGTTCCTACAGTAGACCTGATATCACTCCAAGTTTTCTCAGGATGAGGATTGTCGTCATACTCAGATAAATCCTCAGCTATGAACTCCCTAAATACGTAATTCACCTTCTCATCTACCAATCGAGCACAGGTAGATTTCACTGCCGTTTGTTTTCTGCGACCAGTAACGCAGACATACACACCAGCCCGTACTAAAGCGTGATCAGAGTCCAAACCGGTAGTCCAGAAAGAGTAGCAATCTTCCACCGATTGTTTTCAATGATAGATGACTTATAACAATGTGAACTACCAGTATCCATCGTTGGTTTGAAGTCAGCAGATATCATTTGATACTGTCTCTCCTTATGCCTAACGTTAGTGCTGGGCACTAAGGTTACCTTTTTTCATTTGCGTTGACCTCTACTAAGTCCACACTCCTCGGAAGATTACGTTGCACTTTGTAAACTAGTACAAACGAGTCTTCTGGAATATGATCGACAACAGTAACTGAAAGGTTCACAAAACTACCAGTAGTATACTATAGTAAGTGGAACTAGAACCCGCAGCTAATTACTTCAAAACTGGGTGTTTTAGCCAATGAACAATATCCATACCGAATATAAACTATATATATATATATATATATATATATATATATATATATATGTACATCAAGAAAATTACCAACTCACCTTAACACCATGGAATTCTACTGATTCTAAAAGCTTTACAGTGTCTGAATAGTCTTCAGTGCTTGTGAAATCCAAAAAGGCATGCCTCATACCAGCTTTTTTGTGTATTTTTAATCGAATGGCTAACGGGAACGCATTTTGAGAGCGGTACTATTCACAGTGCGAGGCAGACTGGTAATTAACAATTTCGGCACACAGTTCTTCAATTCCGCTTCATCCACACAGCCTACAAGTGTCAGATAAAATGTCCCTCGACAATAACATGAGCGATGAAATTCATACTTCTTGATTATGCAATAGTTAAGGATGAATATACATTCTGTAACCCTAAAGATGCTCAACGTAAAATTATGCAAAATGCTGACGGCGTACTCACAATATACAAACCAAAACAAACTAATCTACAAAAATGAATATAACATGCAGTTAATGAATTACAAACATAAACGCGACTACAGCTCCATCAACTTATTTTATTACCCAAAGTGTCATAAAATGCAATTCCTTTCTGCCCATACAGCTACAATTAAAGTGTAACGTGTGATTATGCCTTCACAACATGAAGTACATAAACATGAAAAGCTGAAGATACGGAGCTACGACTAACTGGCTCAGATACTGGACTTCCAACTATACAACCATGTGACCCGGATTCACCAACCAGTGAGTTCCATTATCTCTAGGCTCCCGATCAGATAGCCTGCATTTCCCCACACGGCTTACATTGAAAGTCAGACCACGTCTCCACCCAGTCATTTCCACCTTTCTGCAACCAGGTTATGCTAAAATCACCAATGACTTACAACAGAATATACAGCAATTGTCTCAACACCTATTGCCTGTTGACATATCCAGTATGACGGTCGAAGTGGGAGTTGAATCGAAATTATACATAAGATTTGATCCTTGCATAAATAGTTGCAAAACAAGAAATTTCAATTGCTGTTGTTGTTTCAGTTACAGTGATAAAGTCGCAAATCCCTCCACCTGTATGGGCCTCGACAACTGGGTAGTATGAAGAGACATCAACATACAACGCAACTTTCAACGTAGATTGTCAAGCCTCACACGGATAGCTTACTTGCGCTAAAAGTACCAATTTATCATAGACAACAAGAGGCTACCACACGCGACTATGAATCCCATTACACAGCTTCACTGACATTACGAAAGGTATTTCCGATGACTGTAAAGTCAGTCAATCCAAACATAGAAACTGGAACTAGTAAACAAAGATTTGATTTGAAATATTTCCTTTGAGAACACCAAGTTTCAAAGAAACACGATGACAGATAGCGAGATAGAGATCAAAAGTCGAAGAAAGCCATAAGAGTAAGGTACGAAGAAAACAAATAGAAGTGATAGGATGATCAGAATGCAGTGCGGTCGCACTACTATGATCGGTTTAACCACATTACCTAATATTTACAATCGCTGATTTCAATCACCACGAGAACCCAAACCTGGAAGTTTAAATTACTCGATAAGGCTAGGAAAAACAGTCACAGACACCACGAATTGAAACCATATTCCAGTCTGGTGGCTTTTAACCTTTCTCAGCAAAAACTCACACCAGATAACATTAGGAGGAAAAACTGACCGTGACCAGATGTACTTTAATACATATGCCACATTTCAGTTTGCATAGGCTAACAATTACATCAATTGACTTAACTCCTCTACCTGAAACGCGGCAACTGGCCTCTGAATTATTAATTCGATGCTTCTATAACATAAATAACGCTAGGAAAGTAACGATGCTCGAACAGCAAAAGCCTTCATATATCTGCCACCCTAAGAATTATATTTTATAACCATTAAGTAGATCAGAGTGACTTGCTATGCGGTAAAATAAACCCTTAGTAAATAGTCTAATCTGTTACCTGCGGTGGAGAAGGAAGCAGTTAGCGAGTGTCAGACGATCCTACTGAATCCATGCAGAAATTATGTCGATCACTGACTCATCAGCGTTCATTTGACACCCAGAGCAACCGAAATGGCCAACATTCACAACCACTCCACTTTTTATTGCTACATAGGGCACTGACGCAGACCGATCCCGCAGAAGCATTTTGCACTTTGGTGATGAGAAACGCATCCCAAACACATTCACATTGCATATTATGGTGTCCAGAAAAGTCTAAATCTTGTCTGAGACTTCGACTAATAAGACTGTATAATCACTACACTCTAAGTCGACTGAAAAGTACTCCGTAATAAAATCAATCCACCTCAAGTCACAAGAAGATAGAGACACTTATACAAGTCCTTGTGAGGAAGTTATGTAGGAATGGAGAAATTGGACACTGTTGAAGGACACCACTCCATGTACACAACTCACCAGATATCCAAACATAGACTGTGATAGACCCACGGCTATCTGAATACAGCACGATCAACAGGATAATGTACCTCCCAGTAGAGCTTTCACTAAGAAATATTGTCAGTAGTATTATTACGATTACTACAATTAACATTATCATCCTTGTTGTTAGAAAACAAACGTGGTAAAACATGGGCACCAAGAGATGCGCCATAATAAAGCGACATTATGAAGACATAAAAACAGAAATGGGTTGCTGGACAAGTAATGCATCCGGAGGGCCATTCACTACTTTCGTTTTACTTTTCAAGAATAGAAGAAACAAGAAAACTTCGACATGATTGCCACTGGTTTTGATTCACAGCCACGTCTACGAACGTCTGATTCAGGAAGTCACAAGACACTGACAGATGCCAACCAAACACAACTATCCTTCATCTTACTGTGCTAAGCTAAACAGTGGCTATCAGCCCTTATCTTTCAAAATATTGCAAGGCAGGCAAAAGTGATCGATGTGGGAGCCACTGGAACGACATGAGTAACACACCTTTGAACACTTAACGAATGACGACCTTTATGATAGAAAAAATCAACGTAGAACTTTCCACACAAGTGCATCGGTCCACGCTGACATGCTTCATTGTAGCATGCAAAGAACAAGTGGATAGGAAAAGAGAGATACCAAAGCAAACAAGGATGCATGGGTGGGAGGAGAAATTTAAAAATTAAGCTGTCACAATATTCAAGCTTTGGAAGACGTTAATGAGGGAATACATCCACGTCATTGTGATCGATTTTCAGACATGTCATCAAGCGTCCTCAACCACCGGTTCTTATCACCTCGAGGACTCCAGTCAGAACTCCTGCGGAGACTATAGTGGCCAAACACGCATAGAACATCCTCAGCTTGGAGTGGTCAGATTTCACACGTGCAGAAAAGAACTGCCTGTACCGAAGCATTATACTTCTGATCTTTTACAAAAGAACGACCGTCATGATAGCATCAAAGGCGACCCAGGTTGGCAAACTCTATTCTGGTTTTCGATATACGGTTAGGTATCACACCTGTTACACCTTTACCAACACACACAACTAACCAGTTACAGAACCTTTTCCATAACTTCCAGCGATCCACCACCAAGGGCGAATACAGGTAAAGACTCCTGTTAATCTTTTAAAAGCACTAAGGACTTCAATGATGGGAGCGAATAGCATGCATAAAGATATTTGTTGCCAACTAATTGAATGCGATTTCAGTAGCCTGTATTTTGTCACACAATAAAACGGCGTCGTTTGTACACTCGAAGTCGAAAAGTCTTTCACATGATAACAAGTCTACACCATTATCATACACCTCCTTCAGAGGTGTTTTGAGAATGTCATCAATGGCAAAGTTAGACGGGAATAGTGAAATCGAATAGCGCCGCCTATCTCCATTATAGGCTCGGAAAAATGGAGAAGTAACTGTATGCCTTAACTCCACCTGGGGTTTTAAAGTATAAAGCTTTCAAACAAACTTCTCAACAATACTTTTCGCTAAAAGACAATGCCGAAGAACAAACCTGTCTAACAAATCGAAGGCAACCTTAATATCGAGGAACACAAACATCGATCGCCTACAATACGTGTGACGGTCCCAAAGCATCTGGAGGATGGTAAACATGTGATTAATGAATCCGCAACTGGAATAAAATTCAATCTGCTCATAGCATATAGGATTCTCAAGCATTTTGCACAACCTGCAAAATATGACAGCAGACACTGCTTTAAACACTACCGGTAGCCGACTGACACCTCTTTGATTATCACATACAATACGTAATACATTTATTAGGGATAAGCACAATGATGGCTGCATTCCAGAGTGATGAAACACTGTCCGCCATACTTTTTGAAACAATATAATGAGTGCCCTGACTACAGTCTGACTTTCATCTTCAGAAAGAGTAGGGAATAGGGTATCTGATCCAGAGATTTAAAGCTCCTTACGGACCTCTAACTCAATTAGTAGTTAACTAACTACGAAGCGCAATGTGTCGAGGTTGGAGATGCTGAAGCAGAATGCCAGTTGAGCTGCTTTTATTAGTGCTTCACATGCCATTGCAGTTGGTGATTGGGGTATCGCCTACTTAGCAGGACGTCTCACTGACACTGCGGTTCCTGCTGCTGGCGGCTCGGAAGAGTAGCAGCACCTACGATTGCCAGATGAAACTTCCGCTTACATTTCACTTACGTGATCTGACAAACAGGTCTCACGGCACTTATGCAAATACTGTTTGACCCATAGAGTAAAGAAATGAACAGTACTGTACTCACTGCTGCCTGCAGATATGAACCGATAAGGGTCAAGTTGCAATCAGTCTGCACAAACCCAGTTTACATTAGTAAGATGTTCTTCAAAACAGCAAGCAGTTTTGCTCACCACTTGTCCAATCAGTACACGTAGTGCTCATTTACACTTTCTACGAGCTAGAAAGCTATCCTTGAACCTAGCTCGGTTTGCTTTTTTAGTTCCACTAGTCAGAGTAATCAGTCCCTTACGTCGACCATTTTCAAACAACTATTTTGATAACCTACAAAACCCAAGACAAACGTAGCACATATTAAATCGCCATCAGAGTTTAAACACGCGATCAGGAAGATGTGGCAGTCCTCAAAACATCCGCGCCGTCGACAGCTGATTGCAATATAATTTGAGTCACCATCATCAATATCAACGTGGGACCATGCACTACTGCATAGCGGTCCAAGTTCTTACACCTCATATCAGGACAAAACAGATACAGTAGAACAGACCGGACTGCTGTGCAGTACACGCGACACTTAATAGACAATCAGATATCACGGCGGCGCCATAGGTGGCCTAAGCTGGCGAATGCCACCAAGCCTTCTGTATTCGTGCG